GTTTGGGGCCGCAGGGGCTGCTGCTCACACTGGGCGCTGCCGCAGCACCCCTGGCTGTCAGGGAGTCAGCGGAGGTGTGATAAAGCCAAGAGCAGCCTTCCCTGAGCAGCCCCCAGAGCACCTCGCGCCGACCCAACGAGGAAGGCTTGGCGTGACCCCACGAGGAACGCTTGGTGTTTATCATGGCTCGTTATGTCCATCCACGTCCCCATGCATGGCTACACTCGACCTCAGCACTCCCTTTCACACAGCTCCCCATTCCCCAGCCCGTGAACCCGGGGAGCTGCCAGCCGCAGTGTAAGTGCAGGTGCGAGCAGGGCCCGGGGGCCATCAGCTCCACTCCCTGCAAAGTGGCATTTCCCAGGCAGCACGGCCACGGTTCCTGCCTGTCTGTGGGATCCATCACCGAGAAGGGGACTTTGGTCGGACAAAGAAGGAGGGCTTCCCTGAGTTTGTTTAAAATTGAAGTTACATACTTGGGCGTGCGCCTTTCTCCTGAAAAAGAATAACAGAAAATAAACCATATTTATACAAACTGCATTTGAGCATACACTGCTCTTTCCATTATTTCTGCTTTTCTGTCTGGGGAATGGCAATCTGCAAGGTGTCCTCATGCTCCTTCCTTTACCATAGGGTCTCTCACCAAGTATCCAACCTCGGGCAGTTTCTAGCGGTGCCTGCCCTAGTTCTGGGACCTCACCCTGCTCACTGGGCACTTTGCACTCCAAGGAGAAGAGCTGTAGCCATTTGGGAACCGGGAAGAGCAATTTCCCAGTGATACCTGGACTTTGGGGACCAAACAGAGCTCAGCATCCAGCATGCCGCACAGGAGAAAGTCTACACAAAGAACGAATGCAAGTGGATTTAAAGACAATTTAGTAAAAGAGAAATTAAAGAAAGTTTTGTGTCCCCTTTGAAGATCTCAAGTGACCTACAATTAAGTATCTGGCATGCCTGAGTCATCTGACATCACTTTTCGATATGTCGATATGTCTAATCTAGACCATAATCTAGAAAGCTGGAGTCCAAGGAGCTAGAAATGACTCAAGGAAAAGAGGAGTGGCACCAATCCAGCTGGTTTTATGCTGAGCAAGATGACTGGAAACCCTAATTCACCTAGGTGAGTACTGGCAGTAAAGGAAGAATTGCTGTGCCTATGGTGGGATGTTCCCTAATGCCTTTTGGACAGAGTAACACCAACTCTGAATCGGTGTCCTCCAAACGCAGGGCACCCGGAGCAAGGTGAGATGTTGCTCAGGAGACCTGTGCTCCTGGTGCTTTGCTGGGCCTTGCCCGCGTGGGACCCCTGCACGCAGCAGCGGAGCGGGACCTGACCGGCCGGCAGCAGGGAGGCCAGGGCAGCTTTTACAGGAGATAGAGATACAGTTGCCGCCTCTGTCTCCTGGATGCCTATCTCTGAGAGCTCACCGAGAGAAAGGTATTCTGGCAAATATTGCAAAATATGGTGCATAAAGTCTCGTTTTATAAACAAGGTAGCATCAAGTCATGAAAAAATAAATAGATTTGATGCGCTGGTGGTGCATTTGAGGGAATTATGCACCAGAGTAACTGTGATTTGTGTTGTCTTTCATCCCAGGAACACTATGAAATGCTTCAGTTTGAATCAGAAAACATGTGCCCAGGCAGGTCACTTGATGAACAGGTTACTTGATTGCTCTCATTACTAAAGTGTAGTCCCACACGTAGGAGCTTTGGACTGAGGAACTGTTACAGTGTTTATCCGAAATCACTGTCCTCCTTGCAGACACATCACGAAACGCTGAGTGTTGTGTAATGAGCTATTGCAAATGATATGCAAGCCCAGAGAATGAGGGTACTAATTAATCTAGGGAGGAGGCCAGGGAACTGAAAGGACATTTCTCCTTCCAGTAAACTCGTGATCTCCTGGATAAATCAGGTTGTTTTTTTCATTTCTCGGTCATCTTCCCATTTTAGAACTATTAGCAGGAAACCTGTAATTTTTCTGATGGTTCCTAGCTTCTTTTCTGAAAGATATTGTGCCTTCAGAAGTACCTGCACAATATTGTGAGCAGTGCATTATATGCTGTTAAAAAGCAGCCAGTTCCATGGCTGGGAAGTGAAAATAGAGACTTCTCTCAATAAGCTGCTATTGCCAAGATTACACAATGAACAAAGTAAGGCTTTGGCGTCTTCAGTTTCTGAGCTTGATTGAAAAGTTCTGTTACAGCTTTAAAGTTCAGATAAGCATTTTCTGCAAGAAGCTCCTCTCTCCAGTGCACCTCTTTTATTAAGAATTTTTATCAAGCAATAGTCGAATTGTGCAATGTTACATTTCCTTCGGTGGTTTTTCACTCTGTAGGTTGTGCCAGAGACACATTTAAATGCAACTTTTGGGACAAAAGCTTGTAGTTTTCCCCAGATCTCTGAGCTCCTTAACACAACGCTGCCTCCACAAGGTTCAGTGCACTCTGCGCTAGATTCAGTCCACTTTCCCCCATTCCCTCTCATGTATTTTAACAAACCTGCTCCAAGGATTGCATGACATGCTAGATTTTGATAAAGACGACATGCTAACTGGCCAGTACATAGTATTAGATAAATAATCCCCTCACTTCTAGTTGACTGCAAACATTTATTGCTTTCTTTTAATATACATCTGCTTGAAGGAATGCAACTCTCTCTTCTCTGCTGATCTAGCATGGTCTGGTCTAAGCTTGTAAGATTGTGCTTCCATCTAATGTTGGTCATAAAGATCGTCAAACTTTCTGCTCCCTGCATGCTTTCCAAGCATGCTTGGCATAAGAGTCTCCAGTGCCTGTTGATAAAGGTCAATGACTCTTGAAGCTGGAATGTGAAGGTTCAAACCTGGATAGTGTTCAAGAGAAAAGAATAATAATTTAAGAGTACTTGTGCCACACGCTCGGGGCGAGAGAGCTACAGAAGTCTCCATAGCAGTGCTCAGCATTGCCAGCTCATGTAGTGGCTCTGTGCTCTCCATTCAGCAACACAGATGTGCAGGAACATCTGCGGTTGGGTCATGTTGTTACTTGTAGGGCACAAAACCTCACTGCACACTGGGTCTGGGCCCTGGGCTGCCTGTCACCCCCAGTAATGTGCACAGTCCTGGCTGCTGTGCCTTGCTCCTCCACATCTGCCCATCGCTGAAGACTCACCACACAGAAATTACTTTATTAGTTATGTGCCAAGGTTTTAAACGTTGTGCAGAATGGCGGGTTTCCTGGAAGCTGCACACATTGTAAGTGGCTTCTGAACAACATGGGCTGCAATAAATCAGATATCGTGCCATAAAACCCTTGTTTTCACCAGTGTGGTGGCCTCATAAATGTGTTTGCATTCCTGAAGTCCTTAAAAAAAAAGTAATAATTGCTAAATTTTAACTGAGTCATCTGGGATCACTTGCTGAAAAATGCAGCTAAAGAACAGACTCTTAGAAAAACTGACTTTGATAGACATTTGGATTGGAATTGTATCTGTGGTTGATATGGAGAGCAGCGCACACAAGGCTACAGAGCATCATTTAAAAGCGCATAAAAGGAGTAATTGTTCCGTGCTCAAAACTTCCATTACCAGCAAGGGAAGAAATTACAGCCACACTGGAAAGGTTACAGGTGGTATCAAAAATGTGCTTTGTATTCATTTTGATTATTTCTCCCAAGTTTTGGAAGGCTTAAGTAGCTAGCACTCATGTTGCCATATTATTAAAAGTAAAGAATTCAACCTGTCTTAACTTTTCCCAGACAAATCTCATGTACAGACTGTCATTACTTATGATCACATAAAGCCATAAATATGATCACGTTTATATCACGCTCCTCTGAATGGCACCTGTCTATCCAGATGCCCATTGCAGCACCACTATGAAGCATTCCTAGTGCTTTGCCGCGCGAGGCGACCCAAGGGCATCCGCCTCATCTCTCGTCAGAGCAGGTTTATTTGGCCAGGTTTGGGTTTTCCCCCGCATGCCGGGACCTCCCGGGGAGCAGGAAGGGCGCGAGGCCGCCGCGCCGCGGCAGGGCCTTTCCCGCC